GGGCGGGCGACTGGCACGGGGCGCAAGGGGGTGCCACCCGGGCGGGCGGGGAGGGCGAGGGGCACTGGGGGGACGGGGAGTGGCGCTGCGATAGCGGCGAGTGTCTCTGACCTGCAAGAGAACACAAGATGGTGCTTAGGCTTGTGGGGCCAGGCGGTACCGGGGACCAGGGAAGGGCTGCCATGGCCACCTTCCTCCCTCCTCAGCCCGCCTTGCCATCCATCAGTCGTCCCCTGTGCTCACCTCCACTCCGGGCCTGCTCCTGCAACAAGGTCCTCAAGATCCTCCCTTGCAGGGAGCTCAACTCCCGGAGCCGGCCCAGCTCCTCCGTCAGCTCAGTGTAGGCCAGGGCCAAATTCACTCTGAGGGCAGAGGGCAAGGGGTGGTGGGCTCCTAAGTCCCAGGCTGCTAGGAAGAACGGCTCTGTCCCTGCAGCTGCACCTGGCCCAATCCTCCAGGGTCCTCCTACTTCAACTGTAGTAATCCTCTGCTTCTAAGATCCGCCTCAAAGGCCACCTCCTCCAGGAAGCCTCCCGCTGCTTCCAGAAAACATTTCTAGGGTTGGGGCAGAGGTTTCTGTTGCAGGGGTGAGGATGGGTGCCAGAGAGATTCCAAGGGACCAGTCAGGTCCGTCTGCGGCCTCTGCCTTAACACAGCTCATGTAGGTGATGAGAATGTTTTCCTCATCTGTGCAGAAGCTGTGATGTCAAAATAGCCCCAATGGGGGGCTGGGAATTTGGCTCAGTGGTAGAGTGCTTGCCTAGCATGCATGAAGCCCTAAGTTCAATTCCTCAGTACCACATACACAGAAAAAGCCAGAAGTGGCGCTGTGGCTCAAGTGGTAGAGTGCTAGCCTTGAGCAAAAGAAGCTCAGGGTCAGTGCCCAGGCTCTGAGTTCAAGAAAAAAAAAAAAAGAAAGAAAGAAAGAAAAGTTGTGCTGAAGCTGGGCACCAGTGGCTCATGCCTGTAATCCAAGCTACCCAGGAGGCTGATTGCAATAGGAGGATCCAGGTTTGAAGCCACCCAGGCAGGAAAGTCTGTGAGAAATTCATCTCTAATAAACTACTCAGAAAAGGCTGGAAGTGGAACTGTGGTTCACGTGGTTGAGCACTAGCCTTGAGCAGATGCTCAGGGACAGCACCCAGGCCCTGAGTTTTAGTTCTTAGACCAGAAAAAAAAAAAAGTTGTGCTGACTTTATAGTTGTCACTGTTTTTTCTCAGAGCACAAATGAAAAGCAGAACATAGTCCATTTGCTGGAGGAGTCCATGTAAAGCATCCTCCCCTTTGAAAAGGACAAGGCTGAGGGATGAGGGGAGAAACAGTCCATCCACAACCAAACAACTCTTAATCCAATTGGACCAAAGCATACGTGAGCAGGGAGTCTGGGGGACAAACCCTTTTGGGGAAAGGCAAGTCCTGGGCATACTTCTGTCCTAGGACTCCTCACCAAGGTCCTGCAGCCATGATACATCTCAGTTCCTACATTTGCTAATGTGTCTTGGGCTAATGGGCCCATGGGAAGAAATGGTATCTTCCTATCAGTCTGGGAGCTCCACATGTGCCCTACATCAAACCAGAAACTCCAAAGCCAGTGGCTTAGCCCTATAATCATAGCTACTTGGAATGTTGAGAAAAGAAGGATCCAAAGTCAGCCCAGGCTGGGCATTGGTGGCTCGTGCTTATAATTCTAACTACTCAGCAGGCTGAGATCGAAGGATTGCAGTTCAAAGCCATCCTGGGCAGGAAAGTCCATGGAGACTCTTATCTCCAATTAACTAGCAAAAAAGCCAAAAGTGGACCTGTGGCTCAAGTGGTAGAGTGCTAGCCTTGAGCTAAAAAGTGTAGTTCAAGACCTAGGACTAACATACGTACATGCACACATGTGTGCAAGCAAACACACACACACACACACACACACACAGCCAGTTCCAGGCAGAAAAGTTCCCAAGATCCTTTCACAACCTCTAACTGGATATAATGCTATGTTAATGGTATGTATTTGTCATTTAACTATTTAAGAGCATGAGATTGGGAGGATCCTCGTTCTAGGCCAGCAAGGGCAAAAAAGTCCACAAGTCTTACTCAATGGAAAGAATCTGGGTATGGGGTTGCATACCTGTCCAAGCTACAGTGGTTAACCTAATAGGCAAATCTCAGTCCAGGCATTACTAGTGGAAAAAAAAAAAGATGGGGGAGGGGAGCAGCTAAGCATTAGAGCTCCTGCCTAGCAAACACTAGGCCCTGAGTTCAAAGCCCCAGAATCACTAACTAACTGACTTACTACTGAATGAATAAAAGAAGGGAGGGATGGTGGGAGGGACGGAGGGAGGAAGGGAGGAAGGAAGGAAGGAAGGAAGGAAGGAAGGAAGGAAAGATTTCATTTCTCTTTAGACCAAGGGCAATGTGAAGAGTGGGACTGTGCCATCCACTCAGCATTGGGGGCCACTGGATACTGATGAAGTGTCATCCTCCATCCACTCAGCCATAGTTGCTTTTCCCATCCACCTTTCCTGCTGCATCTCAGGTGACAGATACAGGTCGTCGCTTTCACACTCTGCCGGGGAGATCTCACCTGCCACACTCAGTTCCCAGGCCCCTCTCTCCTGCTTCTTTTCCTCCCTTGTCAGGAGCCACCCTAGTTTCCACAGCCTGGATCCTAAATCTCTCCTCACAGAAAAAAAAAACAAAACCAGGATCATAGGAAATGGAAGGAGGCAGCCCTAGCCCAAAATGCTCAGCCTCTATCCCAGCTGACACCAAGTGTTTGGGCCAGTCAGATACTGTCCTCTAAGAACTGACTGTCCATCTTCACAAAGAACCTGGCAAGGAAAGATCTGACCTCCAGATAGGTCCTGGCCCCACAAGACCTGCCTTTTCAGTAGGCATTTTTTTCTCTCCTAAAGATACACACACCCAGCTGCAGAGTATTTTAACCATCTGAATGACTCACTGAAAACACTGCCAATTCAGTGGAAAAAAAAATCTCAACTTCATAACACAACCAAGAGCCACACACATGCACTGAAATACGTTTGCTAGCTTCCTGACCACACCTGAGTGCTCTTTCCACCATCATGACTCTAGGAAGAAGGGTTCAGGTGAAGGGCAGCAGTGGTTATACCAGAGTGCCCCTTGACTGTTTAGATTACAGAAAAAAGACTGAGTCTGTCACCACTTGAGTGTCTAAACCCGAGAGGGAACCAGAAAAGAACCATGGATCATTTGAATGAATGCTGATCCCAGACTACAAACTGTGTGCTAAGCTGCACTGTCTTCACAACCCTTCACAGCCGTGCCGCGGTGATTGCCTCTGTTTTACAGAGTAGAAAATGAGATGCACAGAGATCAAATCACTTGACCAAAGTCCTAAAGCCCAGAAGTAGTTGAGCTGCTCCAAAGCCTATGCTACTGACCATTATGTGTACACCTCCCAAACAATCAGGAAAGGCAGGAAAGCAGGAGCAGCGAGGATAGAAAAGAAGAACAAGGAGGCTGGAGACCTTGCAGATGGCCTGGGAGAAAACAAGAACTTCTGCTCCTGCCAGAGAGGGAAGAAGGTGCTAGACAGACATGGACATGCAAGATCAATTAGGAGCTGGCTTAAGGTCACAGAGCAATGGTTGCACAAAACAGGGATTCAAATGCTTGCTTTTGGCACCTCAGCCTGCTAGGCTGGCACCTTCAGAGGAGCCAGAGTGCAAAAGGCAGAGTTGGCAGGAAGAAGGGCACTCTCAGATGTAAGACATTCCCCTCCTTCATTGATCTGTGTTTCATTCATTCATTTTTTTTTTTTTTTGTCAGTTGTGGGGCCTGAACTCTGGGCCTGGGCACACCATCCTGCAGCTCTTCAGCTCAAGGCTAGCGCTCTACCACTTGAGCCACAGTGCCACTTCAGGCTTTTTGTTTATGTGGTGCTGAGGAATCAAACCCAGGGCCTGTACATGCAAGGCAAGCGCTCTACCACTGAGCCACCTTCCCCGCCCTTATTCATTCTTTCCATGAATAATCCAGGGATCTCAAAAACTTGTCTGGAAGCCATCATCTTTGCTATCACTGATCAAACAACTGAAGCAAGGGTTAAAGACCTGAACATCCTTCTCCAGGTCTCTTTCTGTCTCAACCCAGCTTCTGAACCCCACAGGACCCCACATGCTCTGTGCTGCACCAGAGTGGAAAGAACGTGGTAGAACCAGAATTCAGGCTTAGATGATAGGCTTAGACCAGGAGAGTGGCTTGAGGTCTGGATGAAAGGTGGAGTTCGAATCAGAGGAGGCTTGAGGTTGGAAGTTCTTGTGGACAGAGGTGGAATCAGAATTAGAGATAAGAGGGGCTGGGAAGGTGGCTCAGTGGCAGAGCACTTGCCTTGCATGCATGAGGCCCTGGGTTCGATTCCTCAGCACCACATAAGCAAAAAGAAAAAAGCCAGAAGTGGTGCTGTGGCTCAAGTGGTAGAGTACTAGCCTTGAGCTGAAGAGCTGAGGGACAGAGCCCAGGCCACACGACCGGACCCCCCCCAAAAAAAAAAAAGAATTAAAGAGTAGAGTCAGAGGGCTGGGAATGTGGCTTAGTGGTAGAGTGCTTGCCTTGCATGCATGAAGCCCTGGGTTTGATTCCTCAGTACCACACAAACAGGCTGGAAATGGCACTGTGGCAGAAATGGTAGAGTGCTAGCCTTGAGCAAAAGAAGCTCAGGGACAGTGCCCAGGCCCTGAGTTCAAGCCCCAGTAAAAATAAAATAAAAATTAAAAATAAAATAAATAGACTAAATTTAAAATGGTTTTTTTTTTTAAAAAAAAAGATTAGAGTTAGAGATGAAACTAGGGTTGACACCAGGGTGAAGACTATAGCTGTCATGTGAGCAGAACTGATTCAGAATTGGGAGGGAAACACAAATCCAGCATTCCCAACCCCTCCATTCTCATCCAGAGTCCACCCTGCTCCCCCAGCCATCTCATTCTGTGGGAGAATTTAGGGGCTGAACTTTCCACCACCCACAGGCACACCCAGTACCAATCTTCCCGCCTGCCCGACCCTCAGGGAGGGGACCACAGGCACCAGGCCGTGGAGCGGACTTGAGGTTGTGGGCTGGGGGAGGAGGAAGTTGCTTTGCAACAAGCCAGTGCTCCACCACTTCCTTTCCAGTGCCTTGAGCCCTTCACTCTCCTCCACCAGCTGTACCTTGTGGTCCCCAGAGCCTAGCTCTTCGTGGCAGCTTCCAGTATACGTCCACTGTGACTACAAACCATGGCAAATACAGCAGAATCAAGCAGCTACGGGGAGGGGGGGCAGGAGGGTGTTAGAAGCAGGGCCTCAGTTTGCCAAGAACCATCCTGCTTCACACTAGCTGCCACAGCAAAATTATTAATAGTGCCCCTTTCACTTTCAAAACCCACCCCAATTTGGCCAACAGATCACATAGCCGCCCCTCTCATAAAGGGCCTCCTACCTATAAAAGAACCTGAGCAGGAAGACACACCGTGAGTCCCCACCTGCTAGGGACCAGCCGGGTGCCTGCACTGCTCTTCTCCTCTACTGGGCTTCTCAGCACTTCATGATAGGAGAATGAAAAGAGATCTTGTAGGTGTCTCACCTTGCCTAATGTGCCACACAGATAAAGAAGCCAGGAGTGCCTGGGAAACAAGTAGCTCGTGTTGAGCTTTTGTTGAGACACCAGTTTAAGACTTAGTTTGCGAAGCCGGGGAAGGATGTGGAGTTTCCCATCAGGGAACCAGCAAGCAAGGACAAGCTGTAGGTCTTGCTGCCAGGCACAGGGGTTGGAAATGGGCTCAAAGCCCGCCTGGGGTAGCCCAGAGGCTGTCGCGCTCAGGGGCTAATTCTGCATGCACTGGGTGCCTGGGCTGAAGGAGACTTGAAAGAAAGGAAGTAGGGAGGGTGAGAAGCGTGAAGGGGGAGGCCCGGAGCCGCTGATTTGGGGGCATGAGGCTACGCTCAGGGTACATGGGGGTCTCCGACTTCCGTCCCGACCCACCCCACACTGCCCTTGACCTCCGTGCAGAGTTTCCATCCTCTCTCTCCGAGTTCACACTTCCCCACCACTAACCACAGCCCACGCAGAGGCTTGTGGGCAGAGGGAGGGGGGCGGAAAAGGGCCTAGACTGCAACACTGAGCCCCCCACGTTGGGAAGAAAAGAAAGACCTATAGTTGATGGGTTTCCCCTTCTCACCCATGCTGAGCCCCTTTTTCTTACTGGGCTCCCTTACCAAGGAGCCCCCTCCCTCCCAGGACCCTTATCGCCCCCTTGGAGCCAACCTGGAATCCTTATTACCTTCAAGCAGTACCCCTCCCAATCTCCCCTTCCCTCTTACCAATGGATGCATTTTCCAAAACTCCCACTCAGGAACCTACAAGCCCAGAGGAAAGGGGCTCATGGGTCCTGCAGCTCCTGTCTTGTCTGGGACCCTCCCACACCTCCTCAGGAGCACGATGAACGCTCCCCCCCTCCCCACCTTGACACTGCCTTTGCCAGTAACCTCAGAGGCTCTCTTTGGGGTAATCCTTTCCCCTGGGTTCTGGCCACCAGCACTTCGTGGTAAAGGGAACTCTTGCCTCAGGGTTAGACCAGTCTGGCTACACCAGGACCTGGGAAGCCGTGGACTAGGAAACCAGGGGCTAGGGCTGCTTCCGGGCCTGTTCCATGGTGCAGCCAGAACCAGGAAGGGGGGCTGGAGAGACAAACACGTTTAAAGGAGGTGTTTGAATGGTGAGGATTCTTGCAGTCGACCTGGCTGCCCCAAGCATCCAAGCTAAGATAGGAGGCAACTTTCAGGATACAAAAGAACTGGGTCCCCTTCAGACCCCCAACCCCCAAAACATAGCCCCAGATTCCCATGTTTGGAAAAGGGCCTATGTAAAATTCAGCAGACATGGCAGGAGAAAGAATGGAGAGTGGATGCCCACCTTCCTCAGGGAGGAGGGAGCCCTAGGGAGAAGCCTCTTACCGAGTTTTCTTTTTCTTTCTTTCTTCTGCCAGTCCTGGAACTTGAACTCTGCTCCTGGGCACTGTCCCTACCCTTGTTTTGCCTAAGGCTAGCACTCTACCACTTGAGCCACAGTGCTACGTCTGACTTTTTCTGTGATTAATTAGAGATAGTAGTCTCATAGGTTTTCATGCCCAGGCTGCTTCAAACCATGATGCTCACATTTCAACCACCTAAGGAGCTAAGATGACAGGCATGAGCCCAGTGCCCAGCAAGGGCTGAGTTTTCTAAGAAAATAAAACTACCAAGGGAGTGAAGACTTCCTGACACAAACTCTTACCAAGCTGAGGCTTTCTGGGAGTGAAAGGCGCATGTGGCAGGCAGGCCGGCAGGCCGGCAGGCAGGGCCTGATCCACCACAGGCACAGAGACCCACGGGGAGAGCAGGAGCTGGAGGTGCTTCTGGGAGGACTTTCTGGGCAAGGCCCTCAGCAGCTGGGGGGGAGGGGAGGGCTCCCTCTGGCACAGGGCTTTGTGGGACAGGTGCCTTGGGTATGGGAGAAGAGGTTTTTTTTCTGGCCAGAATCAGCAATGCAGGTGACAGGACCTCCAGGGCACATATGGGACAGGCTTGTTCTTAGCACATGATGCCCTGGCCCCTGGGGATCTACCACCCCTTCTCTGCTCCTTCAATAATCTACCTCAAAGCCAGGCGCTAGGGGCTGGGAAGGTGGCTCAGTGGTAGAGCGCTTGCCTTGCATGCATGAGACCCTGGGTTCGATTCCTCAGCACCACAAAAACAGAAAAAGCTCGAAATGACACTGTGGCTCAAGTGGTAGAGCTCTAGCCTTGAGCTGAAGAGCTGAGGGACAGCACCCAGGCCCAGAGTTCAAGCTCCATGACTGACAAAAACAAAAACAAACAAACAAACAAAAAGCCGGGCACTAGTGGCTCATGCCTATAATCCTAGCTACTCAAGAGGCTAAGATCAGAGGATTGCGGTTCAAAGCCATCCTGGGCAGGGAAGTCCATGAGACTCTTATTTCCAATTGACCACCAGAAAACCCGGAAGTGGCTCAAGTAGTAGAATGTTCTCCTTGAGCTGAAGAGCTGAGGGACAGTGCCCAGGCCCAGAGTTCAAGTTCCACTACTAGAAAAAAAAAATCTACCTCATCTTCCTCTCACATCTCTCAGCAAGGACTGGAGGGAAACCTGGGGTCCAGAAAGGTAACCTCAAAGCCAGTACCACATTGCAGCCCAGGAGGAATCTCTGGGTCACACCCCAATGCTGTCAAAAAGTCTTCCCTTGGCACTGAGCCAATTAGGAGAAGCTCCACTGCCCTCTTCTGATAGGAGGAGACTGGACTAGCTGATCCATAAGAAGTCTTTGGTATGATTTCTGGTGCAAGCTACACTTCTAGAATATGAATATGTACGTGTGCTCTGAGTCTAAACACAGGGGCTGAGATGGGCCCAAAACCCTAGCCGCAAGCTAGGTTGGAACCTCTCTGCCAAGCCTCTCCCCTACAAGCAGTGGAGCTGAGGGTCCCACCCAAGAGTCTCATAAACTGGCTTCTCACCTCCAAGCTATCACAGCTCCACCCAGGCCTTTACCTCAGGGTGAGGAGGGAAGTTGGCCAAAAGCTGGGAGGAAGAGAGGAGGAAGTCTTTTGGAAGGGAGGAGCCCTGGGGCTCTTTCCCTCTCTGGGCCTCACGATTTGCTCTCCAGTGAACACGGGGAGTCTATGCCACCTGTCCCATGTCAGGGGAAAGGACACAGGATGGAAAAAAAGTTTGAGCTCTATTTCTCAGAAAGCAGGAGAAGATGAGTCTGGGTGTAGTTGTGAAAGACACCAGACATTGACGCCAGGCTGCCCAGCACTCCCCCAGAGGCCCGGCCATCCGGCTTCTCACCAACATGCTCCCTTCCTAAATCCTGAACCCCTTGTCCCTGGTAAGACGCTACACCATCTTGAAACCTCTCTAAGCCTCAGGTGCCTCTCCATTTTGAGACGAACAGAAAACACAAGTCATGCTGAGCAGGACCAGCTCCCTCCTCGCTAGGAAGGAAGGGTAACCCTAACCAACTGTGGATAGAAAACGGTGCATACCAGATGACAATGACATATCAACAAAGCCACTGAGTACATTTCTCCCAGCTCGACACCTCAAGAAGAAACACGTTTCATCCCTTCCTTGTGATGGAGGTAGAGCAATAAGCACCCCAGATGCCACAGAGGGATGGAAACCAAACTCACAGGGACCTGGGACCCCCACAGGTTAAACGGTTGGGCTGTGACTTACTGATCATCTCCCACTCTCTTCACCCATGCCATGTCCCTCTCCGACTGGTTGGAGGCCAGGTCCTAAGAAGGAAGATGAATCGATCAGAGCCTACCCTCATCCTTGCCTAGACCCCATCCCTGCCATTTCATGTCCCTGGACCTCTCAGGGTTGTTCTCCATCTTTACCTGGGCCCGAGTCTCCTGCAGCTGCTTCAGCTCCCCCTGCAGCCGCTCACATTCTGCCTGGAGCTGCTCCTCGCGAAGCTGGGCCCCCCGGGCTTCCCCCTGTGCAGCCTCCAGGGCCTCTTCCAGCTGCCTCCGCTCCAGCTCACTCACACTCGGTGTGGGGCCAGGCCAGCCTGCTGTCAGGAGACATGACATTGTCAAGCTGGGTCCAGCTGCCTCCATCAACTCCCAGATCCACACAAAATGAAACAGGTGGGAAACAAAGCGTGAGGGACCAAGAGAAACCAGAACAGATACAGGAGGGTGAGAGACGCTGCTATGAGGCAGTGGGAAGGATGGGCCAGTTGCTGCTGATAAACCTTGCTGGAGGCCAGGGAAAAATGAGATGGCCTCCAGTGGCTACCGCACTGTGAGATTCAGACGTCTAGAGCCTCCTCACTGGCCTGTCCTCATCACAACTAAGACAGGGCCATTGGGTGGGGGCACCCTCTGCTGGCACACCCACAAATTGCACTGGGGCAAGCAGACCCTGACGGGAAAGGTTGTGTTTAAAGGGGATGGCAGTGGGAGTAACTGGGGTATGTAGAGTTGAGGTGAATATGGAAAAGGCAAGATGGGGTGATGATTGGACAAACTGAAGGCAATGTGATGGGATTTTAGGTAAACCAGAAGAGTCCAAGGGTGCTGAAACAGGGGCTAGTCAGGGGAAGTTGGAGGTGGGGAAATCGAGGGTCACTGCAATCTCACCATGACTCAAGGCAGGTCCTCCTCTCAATGCCAGGTAGTGTAGGTCCAGGTCAGCACAGGGGGGTGCAGGGGCGGGTGGGGGGCTCAGGCTGGAAAAGGACGCGTCCCGGAGGTCTTGTTGCTGCCGCAACTGTTGCTCCAAACCACAGATCTGTCGCAGGTGTGTCTCCACTAGGGCCCGCTGCAGGAGGAGACAGAGGGCTAGAGGTCTCTACAAGGCCAGGGAGCTATTGCGGGCTTCCCAAACCCAGGACTCCTCCATTCTGGACACCACACCCTGGAGAAGAGGCTCTCAGAGTCCACACTTATACTCCAAGTGGCCATGGGTGCGAGGCCTCCTCTCCCAGCACCTGCAAAGCAGATGTTTTTCCAGAGACTACCCATGGCAAGGTCAGATCAAACATCTCTTTTCTGACCTTAACACAAAGAGCCAATCATAAGAACACCCAGAGCCAGGCTCTGGTGGCTCATGCCTATAATCCTAGCCTAGCTACTCAGGAGGCTGAGATCTGAGGATCTGGGTTCAAAGCCAGCCCAGGCAGAAGTGGAGGTGTAGCTCAAGTGGTAGAGCAAAAGAGCCAAGCATAAGACCCTGGGTTCAAGCCATAGTACCAACACACACACACACACACACACACACACACACACACACACACAGAGTTCAGTGTCCAGACACTGCCACACTCTTAGGAGCATGTAACTTTCATCGGCATACATAACTTAATCACTTGTGGGCTTCATCTACCTCTTGTAGTAAAAGGGGATTGCAGTACCATGCCTACCTCTTCTAATATGAAGGGTGCAACAATTATAGATAAAGGTGTAAGAATGACACCCGGCACACAGTAAGTGCCATATAAGCATTTGTGTATGGAAACAAAGATTTTCATGCAAATGCCCATTATCCTCATCACAGTTCAGTAAGGTTGTTATCATTGCCTCATTTTTCAATGAAGGGATGGAGACTGATTTGGTGAAGGTCACAGCCAGGGACTGGCAGAGATGGTATATTCTGGGTCTGACACTTGCCCACCCACCTGCTTACACAATGCAGGCTGCATTCTGACAGCTCACATACCAGATCCCATCCCTCCGTCACTGATAGCCATTCTTGATAGCCTCACCACACTTGTCTCCTAGACACAGCACTACAGGTTGACCTGGTGTGACCCACAGTGTCACTGTATGGTCACGAAAACCTGGATGTCACACACAGTCTCACTCAGAAGGCCAAGAGGTCATTCACGGATACACATGAACACAAGCAGGGTGCCCACCACAAGCAGGGATGTGACAACGTTGGAAGGCTCACACAGGGATTACAGAGTACCGGGAACACATTGGAGCACCCCCTACTCTCTCTGGGCCTCACCATCTCCCCCAGCTCCGTCTCTAAGTCGCTCTTCTCCACACACAGTTTCTCGTAAGCCTGGATCATCTCCCCGAGCTGTTCTTCCTGCTCCTTATTCTTCTGCAACTGGATGGGCCCAGAGGGGAGAGCCAGAGTCAGGTGAATCCTTGAGTGGGAGCAGAGTGGCATTACCCCTCCCTAACCCCACTCTCAGCACCACACAGAGGGGCAGGAAAGGCTGCAACTGGCTTCGGGAAGACCATGGTCATTTTTGATCAAAAGACCTAAAGGCCAGAGGCTGGGGTGAAGGAGGGGGAGAGGTGAGGTGGGCCAGAAGCTCAGGGAGCTGGGCTGTGTGCAAGACCAAGACCAAGTACTCACCTCATGTTGGAACTGGTTGAGCCGTTGCTGCAGACTAACCTTCTCCACCTCCAGCAAGGAGCCATCCTTTATTTCATACAGAGAGAAGCCATGCTCTTCTCCAAAGTCACTGATCAACGGGTACTGTGGGAGGGCAATCTTCAAGAGGGCTGACACCCACCAGGCCCTAACCCCACCACCGGCCTCACGGTCCCCAACTGTCCCCTTTCTAGTGGAATCCACGGCTTCAAAACTGATCCCTCCAGATTAGCTTCTGGGAACCCAGAGCGCAAATCCAGAGAAATCACATCACTCAGGGGAGACTCACCAGTTCCCAAAAGTGAACTCTGACCCCTCTTCTGGGTCCCTGGATTCTCTGCTAGGTCCCTAGTTCCTGCCACCCCTTTCACCTCTAGCTTCTGACCTTGATCTCATAGACTTTGAGGCGACGGCGGAGTGTGGCGTTCTCCCTCTCCAGGCCTCCCAGCCGTTCCTTGATGTCTCCATAGGCGGTGATGAGGGCAAAGTGGGAGGCGGAGCACATGTCACCTCCCAGTGAGGGGTCTCCAGGACCATCCAGCCACACCTCACTGGGCCCTAGGGCCTCCTGGGTCAGGATGCTGATGTCATCTTCAAACATGGACTCCATGGTAAGTGCGGTGGCCCCCACTGGGCCTCCTAGAAGAGCGGGAACAGCATGGAAAGGGCCACTTGGCATTCATCCCCAGCGCCCTCATGCTGGCCTCAACACTCTAGGTCAAGTGAGAAGCTTGGTATGGGGAGATATCAAGGGGTACTGCCACAGTCCCTTCCCAGAAGACTATGCCCCATCCTCCTCCCGCTACCTCCTTTGGGAAATAAAACTAGAACCGGGTGAAGACTGGATGGGAGACAAGCAGGGACTGAAGGCCTAAAGCCAGCTCAGCTAGCAGCAGGGAAAGGCTCCTTTCCAGAACCCAGAGAGACCTGTAGATAGGAGAGCTGCACAGCCCCATCCATCGGGGCTCCCTCATCAGCCCACTCTCTATCCCAGACCTCCCCTTTGCAAGTACCTCGATAGAGCTGAGGTCCTCATCCCAGGGCCCTGGCACCACCCAAAGGAAAGCCAGTGCTTTTGGTCGGCCAGCCCTAACAGCCAGGCCTCACTGGGCCCCCTCCCAACTTCCCCATTTCCTCCTGCAGGATCCCAGAGTTCAGGAAAAGGAAGTGCCTCCCCATTGCGCAGGGGCGGTGGCAGCTGTCCAGGCGCTCCCAGCCCCTGACCCGGGACCTACAGGAAGTCCTTGGCTGAGTGTCAGAGGGAGCAAACTGGGTGAGGGCCTGGTTCAGGCGAAGAGGCTGCAATGGACAACCCCAGTCTGTCCCAGTGTGCCTGAGAGAGGGAAATGGGGAGCAGGAATGACTGGGAGGGGGGCAGGAATGACTCAGGGCTCCCAAAAGAAGGAGTAGGCAGCGAGGGGGTGCGTGTGTACTTCTCAGGGCCCTGTTGATGAATGTGTCTGTGGCTGGCATGTGGGGGTAGTGTGTATGTGAATGAGTGTAGGTGTGTCACCATCAATGAGCGCCTTTGCCGGGGGCCGAGGCTGGGGGTCGGCCGGAGTGGAGAGGCTGTGTGTATATGTGTGTATGTGTGTGTGTGTGTGTGTGTATGTGTGTACGAGAGCGCGCGCACGCGCGCGTGAGCACGCGAGCGTGAGCGTGGGGAAGGTGCGCACGTTCGGGCCGTGTGTCACGTGAGGCACTATGGGAATGTCCGAGGTGCGCGCGCGCTGGAGCGTGTGTGCGCTCAGGCGAGGGGGTTCGGCGCCCGTGCCAGGGAGTGGGCTCCGCGACCTCCCCGAAGCGGCGCTCCAGGAGCTTGGGGTGCACAGGGCTCGAGCGCAAGACACCCCCCCCAGAATCCCCCCACCCACCCCCACTCCAGCCTCCTCTAAGTGCCAAGGAAACGCGAGTGCCCGGGTCTGAGTAAGGAGTGTGTGCCCGT